ACTCCTTTGGAGATAGGAACTTGCCTACTTCTGTGGATTCCTTTTACCTTTCTTACCTCCCAGCAGGGCAGGCACTGCCTTTGCTGTTCAGCAGCGGTTCTGTCTTCACTGGGATGGCAGCCAAGTCATCAGAGCACAGCTCATCAGATAACTGTCTCATTAAACACGAGACTGTTGTTCTTGTAAATTGAGGTCAGACTTGGGCTAAGAGATGCCAAATGCAGTTTTAAAGTTAGGTACCGAGACCGTGTCTGAACCGGCAGATTAAACACGTCTGAGGCTGTTTGATGGTGGTGCTGGGGCAGACTGGTGCGGAGCAGCCTTGTTAACCACAGCGGGGTGGCCACATGCAAACAGCCTTTTGGGAATGCTCCCTTGCCCATGCAAAGTCCCAAATTGCAACCAAGGCTTGTCTGGGAAAGAATTAGTTGGTTCAAACCCAAACCTTGCTAGTGCCTCTTCTATTTAATAGTAGAGGTGATTTGCGTTTTCGTGCCTGGGAACACTGCTTGGTACCGTTCCCAAATAATTTCTGTGAGAAATACCCCCTTTACTGGGAGACAGGGACGAGACATGTCCAGGATGTATCTCAGTGTGACAGTCCTCAAATACTGCCCAGGGACGTCAGAGATGGATAAACATGAGGTAGCAGAGCTGACCGCGAGTAGCGGGCTGTTGGTGTAAAACTACCAAAGGGCCGTCTGTCTAATCAAAAGAGGATGTGTCTGCTCCCTGCTGAGCTCAGGAGGAGGATGATTTCTCGAAAACTGTAGTCACGGGTGGCCATGTGAACAGCATGGTCTGCAGCCCAGAATTAGTTGGGGTGAGGTGTGGTCAGGGGGCTCCACCAGAGCATCCCGCAGCCAGACTGGCACGTGTGGGACAGGGGAGACGGGAGGTGTGTCCCCTTTCTCATCTCACTGGCTTTAGGAGAACAAAATTCAGAAATTCCCCTGGTAGAGTCAAATCCTGTTTTTGGCTTCACAGGGCAGGGAAGGAGCGGAAGAAGGCGGACAGGTACGCCCTGGACTGCCAGGAGAGAGCCTACTGGCTTGTGAACCGAACTCCTGTGAGTAGAGGATGTTGGCGTGTAGCTCTGCTGCCTCGGGGGTGTCTTCCCTGCAGGCCCCTGGGATGAACTCCAACATGCTGAGGGCCTCTGGGCTGGGCACCTTGTCATTTCTTGTCAGGGCAGGGGTCAGCCCAGGCACACCTTTCTCCTTGGTCGCCCTCAAAGGTGCGAGGGAGGGAGGTCCAGCATTCCCAGATTTGGGGGCAGCGCTCCCCCAGGGCGCTGCTGGCTGGGAGCTGCTGGCAGGGGAGCCCTTCAGGGCTCGAGGGTCTCCTTGTGCATTTGTGTGAGCCACAGGCTTTGAAACAACTGCGATACAAAACTATTGTTGTTTCTCGTTCATAACAGCCGGGCATGCTAGACGCTCTAGAGTATGGATTAGACCGCGCAACAGATCCTAATGAAAATAAGGTAAACCAGGTGAGACACGTTGGGGGTTTTGTTTGGTTGGGTTTTTTTGTGGTGGTTTTTTTTTTTTTTCCACGCCTACTAACTTGGGCTGGGAGGACGCAGACAACATCCCTGGGACTGTGGTTTTTTAGGCACGGCGAGTGAGTGAGTCAGCTCAGCTGTGACAGCCCAACAGGCCAGAGGTTGAAGCCATCTCATTGTCCTGGGGGTGGGGCCCTCAAAATAAGCTTTGGCAGTTTCTTTTGGCTTGAAAATACTTTGTCAGCTTTCTTGCCACATCAGTGAGTGTGAGTGTCTTGCTACGGGACATGTTTTCTTTGCTGGTGAAACCAAACTAAGGAATCCTCTGTCTCCAGGTGCTCGTTGCTGCCTTTTAATTAGTGCTGAATAAACTGTGTGGGGTTGTGGGGTGTAAAGGATCAGAGGAAAGATCAGATTTAATATAAAATGACAAAATACCTCCACAAGGGTAGTATGGATCAAGAAAACGGAGAACTTGGTGTGGTGGATAGGAGACAAAATGTTGCCTAAAAATGTGGATTGTATAGCTAGACCATAAAGAAACAAAACGAACTGAGACCATGGAGGCTAAACTGGGTGGGATTGGCTCAGAATCCACAATAAGACAAAAGCTGTCAGTGGATAAGGAGCTGGAGCTGCCCTTCTCCATCATTCCTTTTAAGTGATCCTGTATCTGTGCGCTTAATGGTGTTCATTTGGACATGAAGTCAAAGAGCCTCTCGGCAATTAAATGCAAATGGCACTGTGATCACGCTTGCTGTATTCCCACAACTTTTCATTTTTGTAACAGCTTTTAAACATCTCAACAGGCAGAGGCAGGATAATTGCTCTGGCCAACTGTGTTCTGTTGCTATAGAGACTGAAAATGAGCAAAATGTAGGGTCGGGGTGTATTTTATTCTTCCTTGCTCTAAGTAGCAGCTGCTGAAAGCTTTTTTCTTTTCTTTTTTTTTTTTTCTTTTTAGAGAAAAGGAGCAGTGGAAAGAGAGAGGGATAGTAAAGAGGAGTAAGCCAACTTCCCACCCACAGCTTTACAGCTGACGTGGAAGGAGATTTTAAATTTGTAAACCTGAATCCAGCACCCACTTATTTGTTTTGTGTCTCTCTTCCTGCTCAATCTAGCTTCACTTTGTGGGCCAATTAGTTGTCTTGACAGCTGAGAAAGAAAATATTCCTGGCAGTAATTAATTTCTGACATCAAAATGGCTTCTTTGAAGTTGATATTGGCTTGAACATCTCCTTCACTTGCCTCAGACCCTTTGGTGGGCTGCTGCCTCCCTAACTGGTAGAGTCCTCCGGGGATAAACAGGTGCCCGCACTTGTTTGAAGGCGACTTTTATTACTGAGCCATGGGCATCCCTCGGGGTTATAAAGAGTTAGGAGCTGTAGTTGGGCAGGAGGAGTAAGGCAGAAGGAGCCATCCATTGAACGGCTCATTAAGGGATGCTTTAGCCTTTTGTTGCCCAAGTGTCAGGCTCCTGATAGAGCCTCTGCTGCTTAGAGAGTTACCAGGCAACTGCCAGAGCCCGCTGCCTCGCCTGCAGGGACACACTCGGCTTTTGGCCTTTTGTAACCAGACAGTCTCTTGGGAAGGTGCTTTAGCTTAGCCAGCAGTCACTGTGCTGGGTTCAGGGACCACTGAATGAAGGGCCCTGGCTCCTGTGCGGCAAATCGGCCACTGATCATTGTGACCCTTGCTGGCCTTTTATTTTGTAACTCTCTGTCAGTCTGGCTGCCTGATAAATCACAGAACCACAGAATGTTAGGTGCTGGAAGGGACCTCAAAAGATCCTCTAGTTCAGCCCCCCGGCCAGAGCAGGGTCACCTACAGCAGATCGCACAGGAACGCGTCCAGGCAGGTTTTGAATGTCTCCAGAGAAGGAGACTCCACAACCTCCCTGGGCAGCCTGGGCCAGGGCTTTGTCACCCTCACAGTGAAAAAGTTTGTGACTCCTGCTGCATCCATCACTTTTTTTGAAATAACAGGGTGAGAAGCAGATAAACAAGGTTTGGAAAACCGGCAATTCGAACAAAACCAGGCGTATGGGCTGTCACAGATCTGAGCTCCAGCTGTTGGGCTGGAAGCAGCAGTGCAGTGGAGAAGTCTGTTGAGATGCTTTTGTACTAGACTCAGAATCTGCCTCTGGCATGCAGGGCTCCCAGCTGGCTTGCATGTAGGGGAAGGCTCACATCTGCAGCTGAGAAGAGGTGTTCATGTGTGCAGAAACAGAGCTGTGTGCGTGCCAGTGTGCTGTTTGCCAGTTTAGTGGCAAACTAAACTCTGATGAGAAGCTCTGCCCACAGGTTTTTGCTCCGGCTGCAAGAAAGTGATCTCTGGAGGGAGGCTGAGCGGTGCTGGCACTGTGCTGTGCCTGACGACTGGTGCTCTGGGCACCATCCCCACAGTTGTCCTCGCAGCTCGCTGAGGTCTGCGCACAGACAGGGAGCACTGTGGTGTCAGGACAGAGCGTGGGCATGATTTGCAGCGCCTTGACCCAAAAGGAGCTCTGGAGAGCAGTGGCTTTGCTTGTTCTTCACTCTGAGTCCCATGTGGGCACACGCACGAGCTGTTGTCCAGCTGTTTGTGGCCTCTGTAAACTTTGAATGGTGGCCAGATGGGCAAAAGCATAGTGCCTGTTATCTCCACACTGTGGTCAGGAAGACCCACGCTGAGAGCAGAGGAGGTCCGGGAGAATGGTTAGCTGGAAACCAGCAGATGCTTCGGCTCTGGTGGCTTCAGCCTTGTGGATGGGTTCCAGGCACGAGGCTCTTGAGCAGGTCCTGGCTGCCGTCCGAGCTCTGTGGCATCTGCCTGCATGTGGGGAGCGCTTGGCGGGTGGCAGTGGGCCATGATGAGGTCACGCAGGGTCCCCAAATGTCACTCCTGTGTGTCCGGGAGGAGGATGTTTAACAGCACATGGGACTTGCCTGAGAGAGACCGAGGTCTCTCACTAATTGCCATTTTGATTTGAAGCCTGCAGGGCTGGGAGCTTATCCGCGGTAATTGTGATAAGTCACTCATTAAGGGCATTGCAAAATTAATCTCATTATAAGAAATAAGTCCTTTGTTCCAAGTATTACTTCCTTCCAAAAGAGGGAGGGTGGATGGGTTGTGCAGGGTACTTTGGCGTTCCTGCTGTCAGGAGCAGGGGGTAAGGATGGGTGGGATGGTGCTGACAGAGTTCAGTAGGATATGAGAAGTATTCAGGGTCCCTTGTACCAGCAGTGAAGCTGGAAACTGGTCATGGGAGAAAGGGAGAAGAAATGCTGTGCGGCTCTGGGGTGGAATAGCTGGCATCCTTCCCTTATTTGCAAACATGGCATTAGCTTTAATTTTTGCTCACCCACATATAATTTTCCTGTTGTGGTGGCATTTTCATTCATGCCTTTCTTTGCTCTATATAACATTTAACTGACTGTATTCTTTTTCTCTCTCCTACCAGCTGTTTGTCTCGTGTGTGTGTGGTGTGCTGCCTGCCTCTAAGGCCCCTGCAGAAGATAACACAACTTTACCACCACGTGAGCTGCCTTCGAGCCACTAAGCCAGCACCCACCTCTCCTCACCCCACTGCACCAAGCCTGTGTGAGGCCCCACTTGACAAACCAGAGGAGGAAATGAGGGGCCTTTTAAAGCCATCTAGTGCTTGAAATGTGGTGATTCTCCTAAACGCCGTAGCCGCACTTAACTTCCATCTAATGGAAGGGTTCAGCTGGCACATGGAAATCTGACAGGGCCTGGTTTGTATCTAGGGTTCCCCAAGGAGATGGGGAACTCCTCTTGTGCAGGAAATGGCTGGCCTGAAACAGAAACAAAATTCTCTAAAGGGGACACTTCTATGATGGTAAATACAGCAAATTTCTCTGCACGAGCAGGTGATTTTTTTTATTTAGCCTTCCGTTTCTACGGTCTACCTGAAACAATGATGACACTGTAGAAATGGGGGGAAGAAGTGGTGTCTGCATGGAAGCTGGCCTGGCATCAGGGGCGCAGCTCAGAGCAGAGAAGGGTGAAAACCTTTTCCTTAGTCTGTGTGTCCTCTGTCCTTTGTAACGTGTCCCAGGAGCCTTTGAATCAGCAAGGGAGGCTGTGCGGCCCTGTGACCAATGGTTCTCTTGTCCAAGAGCTTCTTCTCCCCCTTGATCTGTCAGCTCTGACCCTCTCACGTGCAATTTCTTGTGTGTGGCCAGCAGAGTGTCACTGCTGGTGCGGCTGCTGTTTGCTTTCCTGTTTGTCCCCGCTGAGATGATGTGTGCTGCAGTCATTCAGAGCATTCCAGCAGAAAAAGCTTCTTCCCCTTGCAATGCTGCAGCGAGGATTTCTGTTAGTCCTGTGCTGGCCAGGCGAGGTTTGCATTAGGATCAGATGGGCTGGCTTCACAGTAGTGCTGTACAGACTGACAGATCTGCGGCATCTCTGCCTTCTGCTGCTGAAGTGGTGAGTGTGCCCTCTCAAAACCAACCAAGTTTCATCAGAATATATGCTCTTCTTCCATATATGGAACAGTTTCTCCCTCCTGAGCAGGACTAGTGATGATGGTTAAAACACAGAGCAAATCTGCACCAGTATCCTCGTGATGGTCCCCTTACAGAGCAGCCCTGGGAGAGGGGCTTTCCCAAAACAGGGGCAGCTCGGGCTGCAGGTTCTGCTGGGAGAAGCCGGCTGCCTGTGGCATTCAATACCAGATGCTTCATCCCTCATCGCTCACAAACTCCACTTCCCCAGGGCACTCGACAGACCCGTGTCTGTCCCGGAGTGAGCTCCATAGGGGAATTGTGGGCCGGCGATTAGCGGCACGACTTCTGTTGGCTTAAAAGGAAGATGCAGAACTGAAACCCTGTATAAGCCTTTAAAGGCTTGCGAGGAGCATCCCTGACTTAGCCTGTCTTCCCTTCTCCCTCCTGAAGTTTACTTCACACGAAGTAACTGCGCTTCAAAGGAGGCTGTATGAATAAACACCCTGCAGTTAATTTCTTGACTTCAATTGCTCGCTCATTTGCGGGTGACATGTAACATAGTCTGAGTTATTCAAATCACAAGGTAAGCACCCTTTGCGCAGCAGATACTGCTCCTGAGGCTTTTAATTGTGGTGTTTATATTTTGCAATGTGTTGGTTCCTGTCTCCTTTAGCTAATATTGAATGATCTAATCTGTGTCTCGTAAACGAATCTATTTTAGCTCCATTAGAATAACCCCTTAATTGAAGGCACACAGGCAGGCTGTGATGGAAGGAGCAATGCTAAACAGTAAATACAGCTAATGGAACGATTTACGGTGTGTGGATGCTCTTAGCTTTGATGATACACTGATTAGCTGAGCTGCTGTGTTTGATTTTAATTGTAATGAGAATTAATTGGAGAGCGCTGCACAACGGCAGCCCCGCAACAGTGTTTTCATGTCTCGAAAACGACGAGTGAAAGCACCTACCCCAACTTTTAATGGGTTTTGTTTCTTTATTTTACAGAAGAAAACTATGGATATTTATAGGAGAGAGGTAAGGAGTAATTCCCTCGTTTCTGGTCTGTGTTGCTTACGTAGTAAGGCTCGATAGCAGGAGCTGAGCAGTTTGAAGAATGCCAGAGTTTGGCTGGCAGTTTCTGCCCCATGGAGCTTTTTGGTCAATGCACTTTCAGGACATTTCCTGCCTCTGCACCTCCCACCGCCAGCAGCTCCCCCACTGATGGGAAAGCTCAAGCAAGGACAGACACGGGGGCTAAAATCCAATAGATCAAAATTAGTGGTGGGGAAATCGTAGGAGATACATCCAGTGGCGCCAGTTTAGAGACAGCCAAGGATCAATGATAATTACATGCTAAATTATCCAGAGCATTTATAGGTGCCTAGAATGGTGGCTCTTATCCAATTTTTTATATAGCATGGGGAGGACGTTTTAATTACTTGCACATTGCAAAATGCTCTTCTGACATTTGAAATAACTTCAATGAAAACCGCCATTTTACTAAGGGAGTTTAAGGGATTTTCTGATTGCTTGGACCCCCAATAATTCGGGCAGAAGCAGTCCCTGTTGTAGTTAGCCTCGCTACTTGGGAGAGGGTTTGAGCTTCAGATGTAGATAGGCTTGTCTTCACATCTCTGTGTTCCTGACTGTGGACATGTCTGATCCCTCTCAGATCATGTACTATCAGCTGGCCATCATGAAGTCCAGAGTGAAATCTTCTGTCTCTCTCGGAGGGTAAGTTCTGATTTCCTTCTGTTCACACATTCATTAGTCTTCAGTGCTTATCTCCTAATGAGATGATAAAGCTATCTGCCCTGGCAGCTGGTGACTCAGTCAGGGCAGTCGATGTGGCCCCACGCGGTGCTGTTCGTGCTCTTGGGGTGGTGCTTTGCCTGGACCAGGAGGCACAAGGCGCAGGAGGGATCAATCCCAGCCATGACAGAAAGGTTTCCTTGGAGCTAAGGAGAGCTGTACTGTGAATGTCTGCAGAGCAGCACCAGCCTCTCCGTTGGGATTCTCTGGAGCCAAGAGATGGTCAGGCTGGTCAGTGATGGGTGGGACTCGCAGCTCTGCAGCGTGGAAAGGCAGCTGCGTGGAGGCTGCTGTGTGAGGATGAGGCAGCGTCTGTCCTGTGCCTGTTCCCATGTGGGCTGAGTAACTCAGCAGACACAGGCTGCCCCCCCTGTCCCTGGTCCCCAGCCTGCCAGGCTGGATTCAGCCCCAGTGAGAGTTCTTGCTCGTATTGTGATGCTCCCCAGAAGGCTGCAGAGCTGGGATAGTCTCCAGTTGTTCTGTATTACAAAGGAACACACACCTCTCTGTGAACATCCAAGCAATTAATTAGCAATTCCTGTTCTCAGTGGAAGCGTTTCCTGATCAGATTCTTGAGGAAGCCAAGTAAGCGCAGAGCTCCCAGTCCTAGCGTTTGCTATTAGTGTTTGCCACAGGCATTTCTTACCTGGAATCGTAGGTGCTGGCCAGTTGCCTAGAGGTGCAGTGCGCGCCACCAGTCTGTTTTATGGAGTCATCACCGCCCAGAGATCTGTATCAAATCAAAGATAAACAAGGTGCTCAGGTCTGGTCCCTGGGAGAAGACAGCTGTGGATGGATGGAATGGCAGGAAGAATCTGGGAAGCAGTGCTGTCTCCTGAGAACCACGGCTTGCAAGGCACCAGCAGTTCTGCTCATTTCACCTGTCACTGATTCCCAGCTCACTTAAAAATCTCCTGCCTCAGTTTTCCAAGCCATGAGCAGGGGGACACCTGGCTACCTTCCAGGAATTTTGTGGTGCTTAACTGTTTGGCAATGGAGCTTTTGACTCATTGGTTCTAGTCTTCTGATGCGATAATGCCTATCACCTAGATCAAAAAATCCTCAGGCAAGTTGGATCTCCACCTCAGCTGCAGGATTGGGCCCAAACGGAATTATTGATGAGGATATGAGCAGCAACTGGATAGTGAGCATGCATCAGAGCATCGCATTGATTTAGGAGGAACTGCAAAGTATTAATCATTAAAAGGACAGAGCAACGTTACATGAGTTGACAGGTTTAGATTTGTGGCTTGCTTAGCATATATGAATTGGAGTGAATTATGCAGGTGCTGAATGTCTCGGCATTTCCACTGAGAGGGTAGGATCGAGTACTTCTGTGCCCAAGCTGCGGTATGCTCTGTGCAGCAGCATTGTGCAATTGTAGGATCTATGCCACGGTGCCTGCCAGCAACGGGCCCTTGGACAGTGCACTCCCAGCCTTGAGCACATGAAAGCACTTTGGCCTGGAAGGAATTTTAAATGCAGAAACCAGATGATTTTTTTCAAGAATCAAAAAGGGAGGAGAAAGCTAAAATTCAAGGACATTAGTGAAATGGGTTGCAATTACAAGTCTGGCCAGCTTAGAAGGTAGGAGAAGTGTTTGTCTGGTTCCTGCTAGGATAGAGACATTTTTGCTTGGTGCCAAGCCCTCAGAGGCATTTGCAGAGGAACGATCTGTGCGGTGGGTGAGTGGAGGGAAGGAGAAGCTGGGACGTGCCCTCAGCACTCCCTAACCTCTCCTGGAGCTCCCCGGGCTCTCCTATGCCCCGTGGGAAGGCTGAGGAGAACCCACTCTGAATGGAAACAGCACTTGCTTTCCTCTTCTCTGGCACTTTTCTCTCTGCAGCTTGTGGCGTGGGATTGGGCCTTTGCCAGCTGGCTGGAGAAGGAGACAGAAGCCATTTAGGGGCTTAGTCCCACCTCCTTGAAATGAAGAGGTGAAAAGAGTTGACAGAAGAGAGACTTGTATCTCCCAGCACTTGAGCTGGCAAAATCGCTACTTTGAAAGACAACCACAAGATGTTTGGGAAATGGAAAAGATTAACTGAGCTAGTCTAGTTGAGAGGCGTCCCTGCCCATGGCAGGGAGGTTGGATTAGATGATCGCTGACCTAAACCATTCTATGATTAATGAATCAATTTTTCTAGTAGGGCAGGGGCTGTATTCCAGATCCCCGTGCTGGTAGGGCTGTACTTCTGAAGATAACCTGTAATCTGTGCAACCATTGATTTGATTGTGATGAGGGTGGCTGCAATTCTTCTTGCAAAGTAATGTTTTGGTTGTGTTGGATTTACCTGCAGGCTTGTGAAATACTCTGAGCAGTTCCTCTCCAGTGATCCTATCCTGTCCGGATGTCTCCCCAGCAACCCCTGGGTAACAGATGACCCTGAGTTCTGGGATCTCAATGCAAAACTGTATGTATTGTCAGCTTGGTGCTTACACTGACCTTTACGCTGATAGAAATCAGAAAAGGGAACGGCTGATTTTGTCATGGTACCTGGTCTCTGGTCATGAGCAGGGAAGCGCTCCCTTTCTGACACAGGTTGGCCGTGCTAAAGAAACTGTCTCTTGGGAGTAGTCATGCTGAACTTTCAGCATCATCTTCTTCACGTGAAGCCTTCCTTAGCATTGCAGAAATTCCTTAACTGGTGATGAGAGCGTGCACTCAGCCCAGCTAATCCTCCCCTTTCGTGAGTGAATTCCACCATTACTAGCACAGGAATGGAATGTCACCATGAAATGTCATGTTCAGGTGTAGCACTTGAGTTAGTGTTAACCTTTCTAAATTAGGTGCTGCCAGTGGCGTAGCAATTCAGGGTTCTGCTGCTGGCCCTTGGTCTTTGCACAAACCTCGGGCTGCTTTCTTAGGAGAGAGTTTGGATTGGAGGCACATACTGGTCCATCTCTTCTCTGAGGTCTCCCTTGGTTTTCCAGTCAAATAGGATTTGCTAATTATACAGCGACATCTCTGGGCTTGAAGCATACCACACATTGGTGGTTCTCATTTGAGACCAGCAATCCTGTTAGAGTGCTAATATCCCATTAGACAGCCCCAAAGGATACCTTCACAGAATGCCTTGGTGAAAAACAAAGCTTTGGCCAACAACCAGTGCCTCCTCCAGAATGGGACTGAGTCAAACCTCCGGCAAAGCTTGGCCATCAGTGTGACAGCAGCATAAATCCCAGATAAATCCTCATCCCGCTGCGTACCAAGTTGTTTAATTACAGCTTACTTAGTGGGCTGACTTTAAGAGCTCATTACAGCATTCTGGAAAACAGAGAGTGCTGAGAAATCTCTTGGCGTTCCAGCGAAGGGCATTTTTGGTTTTAATTAATCTGCCAATTAGACGGGCCACATGAAGCTGGCTGTGCTGTTTGTTTTCAACCCGTGCAGAGTGGAAATCCCCACCCGAATGCGCGTGGAGCGATGGGCCTTCAATTTCAGCGAGCTCATACGGGACCCCAAGGGTCGGCAGAACTTCCAGCTCTTCCTGAAGAAGGAGTTCAGCGGTGGGTCTCTGCTGGGTCTCTGCCTTTGCCCCTGCCTTTGCAGGAGGTGCTGCGAGCTGAGGCCATGGCAAGGTCTCCGGGGGCAGGTGGTAGAAGCAGCGGTGGCTGTGCAGGCAGTGCGAGCGCTACCATCTAGTGGCACAGGACACAAAACACAGCCCAGAGCCCCCCCTGTTCCCCGCAGAAGCTGGAGCTGGCTGGGTTCACACGCTCTTGCAGGTGTCAGCCAGCAGAGAGCAGGGGAAAGCTGGTTTTTACCCCCGGTCCCAAAGGGATTTTTCAGGTGCCTGTAAGAATTGGAGAGACAGTCACAGAATATGAGGGCTTGGAAGGGACCTCGAAAGATCTAGTCTAAGCCCCTGCCAGAGCAGGGTGACCCAGACCAGGGCCCGAAAAAAATCCAGGTGGGTTTGAAAGTCTCCAGAGCAGGAGACTTCACACCCTCCCTGGGCAGCCTGGGCCAGGGCTCCAGCACCCTCACAGGGAAAAAGTTTTTCCTCATGTTTTTGTGGAACTTCCCATGTTCTAGCTTACACCCATTATTGCTTGTTCTATTGCTGAGCACCACTGAGAAGAGATGTTCAAGTCCCTTCATCATCCTCGTAGCTCTCGAGTCCAACGGAGAGCTACGAGGACGATGAAGGGAGTAGGTCCCAAGGAGACTCCGCACTCAGAATGGGGACCAACATGTCAAACAAATTCCAGCTGGGAGTTCGTAGGTGGGATTGTGTTTTCCTCGGTCTCGCTCTCTGCTGACTGTGTCCTTGCCACGCAGGAGAGAATCTGAGTTTCTGGGAAGCCTGTGAGGATCTCAAGTATGGAGACCAATCTAAGGTCAAAGAAAAAGCAGAAGAAATTTACAAGTGAGTGTGATGATTTTACATTCTTAAACTCTTTGTACATGAGTCCTGTTGCCTTCTCACACACGTTTTTCTCCAAGTGACTTATTCCTGAGACTTCTCTTTGTAAGCTGCTGTCTCATGTGCCTGTCCTATGTCCCCACGTTGGAAAGGTGCTTCTGAATATGGAGGCATCAGTATTGTTTTTTTATATACTTTTCCTCTCTGTTATTAAATTTAGGTTTTAGCCTGCAATTTAAATAGAGGAGTGGAGTAGCAAAGATCTTGGGACTGACAGGAGAAGAGACCCTTTTTCACTTCCAGTGGGCTAAAAGTTGCTTTATATTATGTGTTAACAGTGCAAGAGGAGATGAGTGCAGCTTTTATTGAGGAGGAGATTGATTGCCCAAGATCAGGACAGCAAATTGTACTGGGGACCTTTCATGCGTAGAGAGGGGAAACTCCAGGAATTCTCTTGTTGCTGACAGCACTGTTGATCTTTTCTCCTCGCAGGCTCTTCCTGGCTCCAGGAGCAAGGCGCTGGATCAACATTGATGGCACCACGATGGGCATCACCGTCAAAGGCCTCAAGCACCCTCATCGCTATGTTTTAGATGCTGCTCAGACCCACATTTACATGCTGATGAAAAAGGTTTGGTATTTGTTTCCAAAGCCTTAGGGGCATTCCAGTTTCTTCGGGCTTTTCCGTGCCTTGTGGCCTTTATTTGAAAATCCCTCAAATTTGCTGACTTTAGCAGGCAGTGGTTCAGGCTTTTGTATTTTGCTGCTTCTTCCCTCTAAAGCAGCGTGTCACCGGGGTGGTGGAGGTCAAGTGTCTACTGGAAGTCCTACTTGCTAATACCAGCTTGGTCACCGGCTCATCCAAAGCTCAAACAAATCTTTTAACTTCACTCAGTACCGCTCCATGTGCTGCATCAGGTATCCCTGTGGTGGGATGGTCATATCCAACTGAATTTCAGCAGTGGATGGGAAAAGCAGTAGCAATTGTGGTATTACCGCATGAGATTTGTATCAAGAGCTCATCTCAGACCTTTTGGTCTGGATCTTACCTGGGAAGCTTTACTGTGAGATGGAAAATGCTGGGAATTTTACACCAAGGTGCAAGGTGATTGGTTTAAATAGCTATATTTGCCTGAAAGATGCAAAGTCCCTTGGGCTGCTGGGTTCCCAGCCTCTCTGGCTCCTGAGCAGCTGTATTTGGTGATGGTTTTAATAAGGGTGTTTGCAGCCCATAACTACCAGTTCCTCTTTTTTCCTCCTAGTAGGACTCCTATGGCCGTTATTTAAAGTCTCCAGTATACAAGGAAATGCTGGCCAAGGCTATTGTGCCGCAAGAGACTGTCAAAAAAAGGCAAGTGAAACTGGGTGTAATTGTGGGGTTTGTTTTTCTTGTTGTAGCAAGGGTAGAAAAGGCCTGAGTTGCAGGCAAAATTACTATGATTTAGATGTTCATTTAATTAAGTAAATTTTTTTTCTAAAAAGATGCCTTGCTTTTAGCCTGATTATGCTGTTTATTTGTGAGCCTTTTGGAAAGTGGCTTGTGAATTGACTCGACGATTGCTTAGCTGCCTTGTCCGTTGGGTCTGTTTAGGAAGGCTGTGATCTTTGAATTAGTCGTGGCTCCTTTCCTAGAAGGAGGGAGTGCTGTGTCCCAGCCGTGGGAAAACTCCTGCCCATGAAACACCGGCTGCCAGAGGAAACACGGAGCCACCGCAGGGTCCTCCACAGGTTTTGCTCAGCTCTGAGAGGGCTTTCTCCAGACCAAGATGAAGCTTGGGTAGCAAAATTAGGCCATTTGAACTGGAGTTACTTCCTCAAGCTGAGCGTGCAATGTCAGAGCCGGGGTGGGTGGTGTGCTGCTTTCTCTGTTCCTCTTCCACTTGCCAACCTAGCAAGCAAGAAAGAGGAATCATGGACTTTCACACCATTGTTTCATCTAAATCCCATTTCAAGTCAGTGAAAAAAACCCCTCTTGCTGACTTGCTGGGAGTTTGGTTAGTTTTTCCCCGAGCCACACGTCACACGAGTGCTGGCAGGTGCTGGTTGACCCCTGGAGACTACCTTCGTGTTTGTCAGTGCCTGCTCTGGGGACAGAACACTTGATAAGCTAAAGAGTTTTTGCCTCATCCAGGAGCAGCTTAACACTTGATCCCACTGCTGCCAGTTATGGCTTTGCTGAAGCGGGTAGCGACTGTTTTTTGGGGGTATCACAGACATTTGAAAAACCTGCATCGGTGTCCTGAGGACACCAGAAGAAATTCCATGGATGGCAGTTGTTTGACTTCGTGCTGAGTGTTGTTACATGCAAATACTTACAAGAAAAGGAGTAATGAATACACTGGTCATCTCCTCGCCCTGGAGTCCCTCACAAGGACCAGGACCAGGACTGACCTGATGTTTTCAGGAGTTCTGGAGCTGATGTGTGACACTGAGTCACTGAGTTGTGCTTTAAACCACCTTGTGGGCATTCGTGCTTCCTTGTTTTGTGGGTGACAGTGTCCATCTCCGTGTCTGAGTTTGCCCTCCTGGTAAGTTTACTTACCAGACATGAATTTTTGGTGCCTTTTCAGTAACGCCCTGCTGCTTTCTGTCACCCTCTGCACAGCTCCACTTTCACGTTCGGACGCCGCCACCTCCGCTCCAGCCCCAGCCCGATCCTCCTGAGGCAGCAGGAGGAAGAGGCCAAAGCCAGAGAAGCCGCCACGACCGTGGACATCACGCAGGTCATGAGCAAGCTGGATCGCAGGAGCCAGCTCAAGCAGGAACCTCCTGCCAAGTAGGCTCTGAGCCCCGCAGGGCACACAGCGCAGGGAAAAGACAAGCCGGGGCTGGTGTTGAGCTTCGTCTCCCCTTCCTGAAGGTGTCAGTGCTGCTTTAGGTTTCCCAGGCCGACTCTGCCACCAGGCTGCTCCCTGCACGTTGCCATGGCTTCTGGAGCCGCAGATGTCACTGCCCAGGCATGTGAGGCATGGCAGCCTTGGCTCGGGGTGCCTCCCCTCCCAGGTCGAAGCGGGGTTGCCTTCTGGCTGCCCCCAAAACCTCCCGGAGGTTGGGCAGCCTGGCTGCCTCTCCCTGCCTCCTGCTCCTCCAGGAGGTGGGATGGCACAGGGCAGAGTGAAGTTCTGCTCTCCCAGCCCTTTGGGTTCCCATCAGCTTTCCTTGGAACAGAGGTGGATGGCCCCTCAGGGAGCCAGGCGAGGTGACCCACCTCAGCACAGGTCCGTCCTCTCGGGGGGTTGTGCAGCCTCCCAAGTGGTGCAGGCCAGGCACCCCCCGAGAGGAATGCACCCCTTGCTCCAAGTGTCCTGCGTCCCCTCGCTGGTGCAGTGGAGCCGCAGGCAGAAGTTTGGGTTAGGCTTCTCCTGAGAACTGTAGAGATGAGCACTTCTGAAGGTTTAGTTGACCTTTTGAAATCTAATGACAGTCCCAAGTCCCGCCCGGCGCGTTGGAGATGCTCAGCAGAAAGCTCTGCTCCCGCCCGTGACTGCCCTGCGTGGTGTGCCGGTGTGGAGAGCCGGCTCTACGGGAGGGTTTGAGAGATGCTGACGCAGCTTTGTGTTTCTTTTATCAAATCCTTCCTACCTTGTCTTGTCTTTTTCCTGCTCTTCTATTTTCTGTTGTTTGAAAAAAAAAATCCCTAACAGGAGCTAGTTCCAGTTGTCACTGGTCTGTAGCCCAGAGGCAAGGAAGAACCAGAGTAGGGCTGTTAAGCGGTGATTTTGACTTTAAGTCGTGTGTTTGTGGTTTTTTTTTTTGTTTTTTTTTTCCATTTGCTCTGTTAGAGTGAGGCAACCTAAAATTAGTGCTGAAGAGCTCAGGGAGATTCCAGACTTTGCTGGGAAACCCCGGCGTGTCTGGACCAGGCCAATGGTTACCAGAAGCGGTAAGATTCCTGCAAAGCCCAGTAAAGGGAATTGAGGGGGGCAGAACAGCTTCCTTGTTTGTTAAAATTTAGGGGAAGCAGAGGGACTGGTTGGGAGCAACTGAGGTCTGGGAAGCTTCTTCACTCTGGTTTGTATTGTTTAGCCATTTTTACTGCTGGTATGATGTTATGGGAGATGGAGAGCGCTGGTGTTAGTGGGAGCCCTCAGGGTGCATGCAGACCAGCCCAGCCCCTCGAGAACAGGGCGATGGTGGGGCGATCGCTGTGCTCCCAACAGCTTTGAACGGCGATTCTTGCTCTCCCCGCGTGTGTTATCAGAAGCAGAATCAGAGCTGCACGGTCTGATCTGGTGTCGCGGCAGAATTGGCCTCCTTCGCTTTGCAGCTGAGCTAGGGAGATTTTCCTGACCTCCGTTAACCTAATGGTGATAAACCTTCTTCAGGGGAATTGAAACCGAGTTGCATGAGCTCTGATGTCAAGGTCTGCTTGCTAAGTCTCTGCTCTTATTCCCAGTGGAAGCAATGGTAAGTTTTGCAATGCCGTAAGGGTGAGCAGGCTCAGACCATAATTTTTTTTTAAATTCTGCTTAAAACCACCCAGCTTTTGTCATTATCATTGAATGCAATTTTGGTTCTGTTTAGCTCAAACCAGGAGAGTCAGGTACATAAGAGCACTAAAAGATCCTCAAGAAGTTTGCAGGGTTGGTCCAAAGCTCCTTGGATGTGGTGAAGCTCTGCAGTCTCTTCAGAGCTTGTATAACACGGAGCACTGAGCACGTTGGGATTGCCAGGATGTAGTAATGTGTGGAAGATCAAGTCAGGATATAAACAATAAATAACAAATCTGTGTGTTCCAGTCAGTCCCTCTGATTCTACGCTTGTTTTGTCTGCAGTTTTGCTTTTCATGTTCTCTCTATCCGTTCCTTTGTGTGGCTTTTCGTCATCTCAGCTTTGCATCGCTGTCCCCCTGACGTGGGTTAATGCTGCATGCTCTGGAGCCACTGAGCTTGTGAAACACCAGTCCCACACTCGCAGGCAGAAGCTGGCTCTGTTCTGTTTATGGCTGAACAAGCTGGCGTGACTGAGCGTACCGCTCCTCTGTCCCTCGCTGTTCAGTTCCCAAGGAGGAAGGTCACTTGGTGCAAAGTGTGACCAAGGTACAAGCTGAACTTCACTTTGTGCCAGCCAAGAATTTGTTTGTTTCCACTGGAAATCAGAGCAACATGTTGTTTTGTTTCTTGGCTGTTGCTTCCATGCATTCATCTGTCTAATAAAAATAAATGTAGAATATTAAAAAAAAGGAGTTCATCCTTCTCTGTCTTGTCTCGGTGTGTTCATCCTTCACTGTGTCCTCTCTCTGCTGTGTGTGTGCACGTTTTCTGTGTGTGCCTCTGCTCTCAGCACTTCTCTTTGGACACTTGAGCTGCATTTCATTTCTACTGGGAGCGAGTCCTTGGGAAACAGTGGGGAGACCCTGGCACACAGCATGTCCTCTGCTGCCACGTCTGTTCTTGGGCTTGGCCCGAGGACTGAACTAGTTGAGCTGCAGACGTCACAGCACCAGCCAGGGCCCCGGGAGCCTTCAGCGCAGGCTTGTGGCTTCTTGAATTATCAGTCGTCAGGGTTTGGAGCTCTGTGTCCTGTTTCTTAGCCACCCCAGCAGGCAGCATGTTGGTGCTTTGGGTGTCACAGGGTTATGCTGTTCGTAACCAAGATCCCATTCTCTGGATAACAAAATCCTCTGTGCCTGGAGCTAACGAGTGTAAGGAACGAGACAAGCTGGTGTCTGCTACAGCATCCTGGCAGGCGTGGGGCCAGGTCTGTCGGCACCCGCTGAGGCTGGTTGCAGTGACCCTGGTGCTCTCTG